CGTTGAAAACCTGGTTGCGTTGCGGCGCTTCTTGTTCTCTTTTGCACCTAATTAAATAGAGTTCTATTCATACAGTTATGATGTGGGCTTTTTATAAATGCCCATTGCATGATTTTTGTTGTCACTGCTTCTAGATACCGGTATGTCTTTTACATAACAACAGCATAGTTTTAGACATGGACACCTGCATTTGTATATGTTTTGGATGAATTTTAATTATTTCTAGACAATTAATAAGTCAAAATTTAATACTTTCTTTCAAATTTCTATCATTTATTGATGATTCAAAAAACATCAACGATACATTGATATTGTTTCTATCAATGAAAGCTCTAAATTTAATGTTTTTGTTCTGACTATTGTATATTTAACAATGTAAAGAACTTGAATTTTCTGTAATTTACATGGTATTATCATTAATGATATAGAATGACTTTATTTTCAATTCAAAGAGTGGTTAATATTACAGTCAGACACTTACCATACAAGTTACTGGATTATATAAACAGTTGTAACCTTGTCTTTTTCCATTGATATAGTCTTATAGATCAACACATAATAAATAACAATATAGAGGTTTAGTTGTTAAGCCAGATGTTTATAAATAAGTTTCTTTTATCCTTGGGAAGAAATAGGATCTATAGTAGAGTTACATCATTGACATCATTGACTTTATTGTCTAGCATTCTTGTGTGTTGCCTATTCTTGACAGCTAAATTTTTCAGGTGTATTATAATGAATAAATTAGAGGAAACAAAAGTTTATTAATTATATAAAATAAAGTGACTATATTAAACATTTAGACTAATTATGATCAATTATATTATTACAGCTGAATATTACCAGTTTGATGATGAATAAGTGGTTCCTTTCATTGAGAACACCCCGCATGAGCGTGACTTGAAAAATCTTATGGCAGCAGCCATGGAAGATTACCCAGAATCCTGTGCTGAACTTGTACGTCGGCATGGAGTTCACGTGTGGGGACCAACTTGGCAAAAAGCAAAAACAATGTAAGATATAATTAGACAATTAATTAGTATAAACATATTCATCATGAATTAATTAAGGGATTAAATGCCATGTTTAAGTTGCATGTTTATGGAGAATTGGTAAGAACTTGTTATGCATTTTGTTTAAGGTAGCTCGCTACATTCCGACCGAAATTGACAACATCTCGAATCTTGATGATTTTTGGAAAGCAAACACGTAGATATGTAAGCTTTACTTCAGCAGCATTATTTTGTAACGTAAAAGCGTTAGTATGACGTCAAGGCGCCCTCTAGCGGCGGCGGCGGATTTGCAACTTTTTTATCGACAAAACGGTCTGTTTTTATCAATTCTCATCCGATTTCCGCCATTTAAATTTAATTATGTTCAATAGACGTATGCCTTTACATTGATGTCTTTCTTTTAACTTTGCCGAATATGCTGCGATTCTACGGCTAATTTCCCACCGTTTTGACGTACAAAATCTTTTGAAAATATCGTACGCCAGCGCAATAACAATTGTGAAATAAAAATAAATCAACACGGTGAATTTTGCTATATTTTTTAACATGTAGCGAAGTTGTGAAGGAAAAAATTTATGCAATAAAAATATAGGGTCAACATAAAATATTTTGCTATTACTGTTTGAATATAAAATAAAGGATAAGTAAAACGTAATGATTTCGGTGACGTCAAATAAATTTCTAAATGAAATTTTCACGATTTTTTTCGATAAAAAGCATTATAGCAGGGAAAAATGCGTGACAACCATCACAAACAACATTATTAAGGCATGTTCCGTAAAAATGTTCTTCTAACAGTAAAAGTCCTGTCAGCTGTAAATTATATAAATGTACAATAGATCAGGGTATGACGGTAGGTAAACAAATCTTACTTATTAAGTTGGTATCAATCTCCGACAAATTGCAATTAATGATTATTAATACCTCGAGGATTTGAAAGACAATTCAGAATATTGAATGATAAGTGGACTAACAAACTTTAATTTTGCAAAATGTCAGGAAAAAAAATGAAGAAAATCTGGCGCAGTCGCAGTCTTATCATGCTAAACTTAAAACAAACCTCTATGTTATCATAAGCAAAAGTATATAGATCAATTAGTAGGAAAATTTTGAGATATGGATATGATTAGTATCTTTATCATACGAATAATAAAGATAACATTTACGTTTCAAAAATGTATGACCAACTGGAAGTAACAACGATTTGAACGTCACGATTCACTGGTTGTCTTTATTATATAAATCTAGCAGACATTTATTTTGAAACTTTTCTGCAAGTATATTTTTTTTTATTAACAGCCATCAGTTCGCAGCTAAATACCAGCAAATCATATTCCTGCACTAAGCTCTGGTTTAAATTTCTGACGCATTTCATGTAATTACAGATATTTCTTATTTATTTTAAACTCGCAGTATGCGTTTACTCTTCTGTTTGAGGCGATCTAAAGCCGCGATCATTCTCGATTAGAGGCGAAAGATCTGTTGATTTACTCTATGTTTATAAGCGAAGCATTTTGCATATTAAATGCAGATTGCCTTGTTTTGATGAGGTACACGTAGGATCCTAAATTTGTTTGAATATGCTTGTAGGAGAAGCTCGTTTCTGTATGCACATAATAACTGCTTAGAGCCTATGAAAATAATGAAATATGCATTTTATTTTTTATCTTCTTATATTTTTCAATTTTGGGTTTAACACCACTTTCATCAGTATTTCAATCTTAATATAGCAGAGAGAGCTTAACGAATCCTGTATCAGTATACACTTGTCTACGGAAATAAATGACAGGATTCCAAGGTCGACATTAAATCATTCCATACACAGTAAACAATTTTAAAGATTCACAAAGAACGTGCACATCGCTCAAATCATCTATTCACCTAAACTCTTACTTTCTAAGCAAATGTATATTCTTGGTAAACAATGTTAATAAGATACATTAAAGTAAAGGTAATGTATTTCAAAATAAATAGAATATCACCAAATTTAGTGCGTATGTAAGATCAAATTATAATTAAAATAATCTAATAGTACAATGAGCAATCGTGTCTCAAATCCATAACTTGCGAATTCTGCGTAAGACCACTTTACCGATTACACCGTGGCAACAGAAGAATATTCCAAGTTAAAATCCGACTCTGATCTCCCTTTGTAACATCTCCTTTAATAACGGAGAAGTCCACTTTATTGTTTACATCATAAAGTGTTTTTGTGTTTTCTTTTTTTTTCTTTTTTCTTCTTTTTTTTCATCTAAAGCAAACTGTATACAAAAAAAAAACGTCAACATTATACATTATTCGTATTTAGTGGTAACAAAAGTTGTGCAAGTTGTTTAATAATTATATTTTGAATTTAATTGAAATATACAGTATAATCTTTCAATGTAAAGAGCAATACCCCCTTTGTTGCTTAGAGTTGTTGCTCTATACAGAGGTAAAATGTAGTGGAAATCTTTTAAAAGAAATAACATTTTTAGGACCGCTCTGCAGTTGCAGTTGCGAAAATGCAATTTGTTTTATTAAGTATGATTTTTGTTACCAAAAAAATGTTTTAAAGTTTGTCAAATAAGTGTTCATTCTCTAATTTATAAATCTATTATCATGACATTTTAGTTAGATTAATGTGAAATATGATAATTTTCATAGCACAGGATGAAAATAAATCCTGTATTCATATAAAAAACTTGAATGTTCTGTTTATTACATACATTTTTCACTTTTTGACATCACAATTTGAAAACTTTCCCTTAAATCTTGTATATTGGCTGAATTTAGCAAAAAGTAGTCCGGCAAGATACTAGTGAAAATACGGAAAATATGCCCCACTGCATATATCTACTTTAATTGCATTTCTTACTATGTGTTTAAACAGTGAGGCTCATCTGCCTGTATTTGATTTTATGAAAGTGTTTAAAAGCTGAATGTAACATAAAAAAGATATTCTAACGGGTATCAGCTAAGCGACTTAATTAATGTTCTTTCTTCAGTCACAATATGCAATTCTTATTTTTGTGCGCTGAATATAGTAATATAACACCTTGATCTCTTTTATTACACTCACAAAGTTATAAAATAAAAAGATGTATGAGACTGCGTTCAGCAAATTAGAAAAATATTGCAAAGGCATTGTCGGATTAAACAATGTAAATGTGCTCATCTAGCGCTTGCACTTCAATGAGAAAAATAATCAACAATTTAAAAAATATATTTCATTAAGTCACTGTGTGATTTTTAATGTTTGACGTAAGAAAATTGTTATTTGTATTATATTTTGAACTCCAACGTCTATTGACGTCACCGAAATCATTACGTTTTACTTACCCTATATTTTACTTTAAAACAGTAATAGCATAATATCTTACGCGTTGACCCTATATTTTTATTGCATAAATATTTTTCTTCAAGACTTAATTACATGTTAAAAAACTTATAGTAAAATTCACCGTGTTGATTTTTTTTTATTTCACAATTGTGATGACGAGCGATTTTATTTAACAGATTTTGTACGTCAAAACGGTGGGAAAATAGCCGTAAAATCGCAGTATATTCGGCAAAATTAAAAGAAAGACATCAATGTAAAGGCATACGTCTATTGAACATAATTAAATTTAAATGGAGAAAATCGGATGAGAATTGATAAAAACAGGCCGTTTTGTCGATAAATAAGTCGCAATTCCGCTCATACTAACGCCTTTCCTTTACAAAATAATGTTGCTGAAGTAAAGCTTACATATCTACGTGTTTGCATTCCAAAAATCCGAGATGTTGTCAAATTTCAGTCGGAAAGTAGCGAGCTACCTTAATTGGAAAACTGATGTGTACATGTATTATTTACTTCAAATACCTGATGTTCATTGATATCAATTAAAGATTAGTTACAAGTAGGCCTGCAATTACAAAGCTGAACTGTGTATATTATAGTTGTTATCCGGAACTCGACCGATGTGGGTTTTTCCAATACCGATATCACGTGACCCGGTACAAACAAAGATCAGCTGATCGCCATATTGTAATATCAAAATGCCAACTAAAAGATGTTCGTGGGGGACTTGTAACAGCGACAGCCGATACTCACACAAGGATTGGATGAAGGATGTTTCTTTTCTTCCCTTCCCTAAGCCAGCGATTGACTTGGAGAGGTGTCGTCTGTGGATTAAACAGTGTGGTCGTCCCCACAGCGACTTGTCAGTTGACAAGATCAGACCTCATCACTTTGTTTGTTCGAAGGTGAGAACTTCAATACAGTGTATTTGTTGTCGTACTATTTCTGAGAATATTTTATCTTTGTCTCGCATTACTGTCTGGTCCGTTTCCAATTGCCGACTGATTTCCATGAGAAAATTTTGGGTGGGTGGGGTAAAAAACCCAAAGATATTTGTCAATTTGATCCGGCCGTTCCAATATGTGTTTCATATAGAAATGTTTAAGATATTTTCGATTTCATTTATTTCTGATTTTGTGTTGATATATTTAGTTACTGGTATTGATCTGATTGTTCTTGATGCACATTATTCTTAGGCTAATGGAGATAGATGTACATGTACTGTATAGGATCTGATAGCCTATGCACCAATGCCCAGTTCACATTTTCCAAAACATAATTTGGGTTGCATCCTCTGCTTTTTAGCTTACTTATGAGTAGATCTACCACAATAGAAATAAATTATCAAAATATTTTAAGTTCCATTGAATATATTTTTCTTGATATAATTTCAGCATTTCTTTCTTGAATCTGGATAAATAGTGCAAGTGCATGCATTATAATGTGGTGTATATTTTGTATTTCAGCACTTCATTGATGGAAGTAAAGATCCGGTAGCAGCTAAATATCCATCTGCATCTACACCCAAAGCCAGGTCAGACAGGAAGAGGCCAGCTGAGTCCTTACCAGTAACACCAAAGATGAAACAGAAGCATGCTGACCAACCTTTAGATCTACCAGGTGTGCAGACTGAGAACATTAGAGATACAGTGATTACTCTCCTCATGTTTCATGACATTCTAGACTCAAATCCTTCTTGTAATTCTGAAAATTATCTATGTTGTGAAGAAAATGTTAATGTCAATGATCAGAACAACAATGTTACATCTGATAACACATCAATTTGTGCAAGTAAAGATAAGTTTTTTGTAGACAATGTGACAGAAAATGACAAAGACTGTTTCTATTATACTGGTGTTCCAACTTTAGTTCTATTACATTTCTTATTTTCATGGCTTAAACCTTCAGCTCAGAAAATCAAACTGTGGGATGGAAAGAGAAAACATTTGCCAGGAAGAAAAGGTGGTAGACAGAATAGGAAACTGTCTCTTTTTCATGAAATGATTTTGACTCTTGTTAAGATTAGAAGAGGCTATGGCAACAAACATCTCTCTCATCTATTTCATGTATCTGAAAGTCATGTGTGTCGCATTTTTCTAGCTTGGGTAAATCTGTTGAGTCAGTGCCTCAGTCCACTCATTGTCTGGCATTCTAAAGAAATAAACAAGGCAAACTTACCAAAGAGCTTTTCAAATTATCCTAGAACCCGGGCAATTATTGATTGCACTGAATATTATGTTCAAAAACCCCTACGTCCTGCAGCTCAGAAAGCAACATGGTCTTCATACAAACACTCTAACACCTTAAAACAGTTAATAGCCATTACTCCAAGTGGAGCTATTTCATTTTTATCTGATGTTTACAGTGGCTCAATTTCTGATGCAGCTATTGTAAGAGAATCCAAATTTGTAGACTTAGTGGAAGAAACTGATGATATAATGGCTGACAGAGGGTTTAATATTCGGCATCTTCTTCTGCCAAAGAAGGCTACTTTAAATATACCTTTTTTACACATGGGAAGGTGTTAAGTTCTAAGGCTTTGAAAAGATCTAGAGGTATAGCCAAAGTCAGAATTCATGTGGAGAGGGCAATATGTAGAATGAAGACCTTTAAAATTCTGTCCGGCATCATACCACTTAAATTCAGATTTATTTTATTTCAAATCACCAAAATTGTTGCAGTTTTGTGTAACCTTCAGCCTTGCCTTGCACAATGACTCCAATACTCTGGGTTTCCCCTGTAAATAGGGAACATAACCGATATCGAAATATCACATAGTTGCAGTTTTGGTGAAGTTTTTGCATGTAAAACAAAGCAAAAAATAGAAAAAGATAGATGTATTATCATAGATATATTTATTTTCCATATCTATTGTGTAAAATCATGTTCATAAAGTTGTTAGCAATATTGAACAATACAATACTACCCATTTCAGTGACAATGATTGTTTGTCAGAATAACAAATACACTAATTATAATAGTATTACAAATCATGAAATTTATATTCAAGAACAATAATTGTAATGTACATGTTTTATGATGTTCTATCAGACTATCATTCTTGACACATTACATTATTTTTACCAAAGTCTCTTAGTATGTATGTAACATCTTGTGACTTATACATTGAAACAAACCTGTTAATGAGAAAAATAAAACAACATGGCTGAACGAGAATAATGTTTTCTTTGTTTGTTTTGGTGTTTTATTCAATACCATGGTAGTCAGTAAACCTACCCACAATTACTGGCAAAGTCCAGGCTTCTGTCACCCAAACTGTTTACCAGTACTAAGCATAAATGTTTATCCTACTTGGTTCAGTGACTCATTTCCAGTTATGGTCTATAAAATGACTTAATTCATGAACAGAGCATTAGACCTGTAATCATAGAGTATACCCTAAAAACATTATTCAACACTACATTTTGTCATTGACAACAGTAGAAAGTTAAAGAAATAATTGCTGAGATGAAACTACACAATTGTTGCTTTTAAAACTTGAAAATAACTATCTCTGTAAAATGAAATTAATTTATTTCTAACAGAGTCCCAAAAATCTTTATCAAAGTCTACACTAACAGTAGCTATCCCTTTATGTGTGTAAAGTACAAGGAATGCTTTGGTAATGCCAGTCATTGCCATCTGACCCAGTATTTGATAATAGTACTTGTGAGACTTTTTTAGAAATATGTCACCATCTTTTTCAATACAAATACCTGAAAGTTTCAGTGCATTATTTGGATGGAAGCATTTGTATTTGAATGAACACTTTATTTCAATAAGAAACTGGCCACATATCTTGCATGTAACAATACCATCAGGTGAACAAGCCAGACCAGGGAATAAACCATCCTCAGACAAAATAAGACCAGGTACATCAACACTACAATGTCTGTGTTTAAATCTATGAGCTTTAAGGAACATATTTCTAGCCTTAGATTCATACATTCTTCCAAATGAGATAGCTAGTGGCAAGCGTGATTCATCTAACCCAGGCTTGATCAAACTTTGTGCGGTCTTAGTAATATCAGTAGAACAACAAATCTGGTGAAAAGTCGAGGAGGTTAGAATGCCTTTTCTTAAAACATGCCAGTTGTTATTTTTACATTGACCTCTGGTTATTTCTTCAATTTCTGAACATTGCTCAGGAGTGTAAGGTAAATGATAATACAAAAATATGGTAGCACATGAGCAAGTATCAGTAATACATGTATGTGAAGAAACAAATGATGCTAACTTTTGCATTGGTGTTATTACTGTTAGAGCAGGCTGAGCAATTAAGGCAGCTGTTGTTTTAAAAACAGATTTTACTAGGCATGCATTTGGACACAATGTCTGTAACTGCTTCAAAAACACATCTGGATCTGGTTTAGGAACATCCTCAGCCAAAGGACAATAGTTTGGTCTTGTTGTCTGGCAGCTGAAAATAGAAATGTTTATTTTGCGAATGATAATAATACTATTTACTAGTATTTAGAAAACCAGTATATTAATGAATTACAAGATGAAAAAATGAAATGAATAAATGTGATGACATTCATACAAAAATAAATCATATAAATACATTAAAGAAATGTCTTAATGAAAGACTAATAATGAATTCAAGTAAACTATCATCAATTTAGAGGTTGTTCATTTAATAAGTTTTACCTTGATGAAGATAATACAGATGTATCTAGGACAGCAGCAGGAATAGGCTGGGATAATTTGTCTGCTTCACAGGCTCTCCTTTTCCATGTGCAGGGTTTAGATGTACAGGTGGTCTTTGATTCATCATTCAGGAAGTCATTGACCTCAAACAGTGTGGCTACTACATGTCTACAGCTGCCATCTATCCTGTAAACATACATTAGTGAACTTGAATTTGTCAATGGAGTTTACAAAACCTAAAAACATTGGTGTGGGACTGAGTCAGCACATGCAGATCCTTTTATTAAAGACACTGATTATACTAGACAAATGATTTAATATGAAAATGATTATTCTTGCACATGGCATTAAGACTAGAAATAACAATACTACTAGTAGTAGGTATTGATATATAACAATACTGTACACAAATGAATATCACTTAATACTCACCCTCCTTTACGTGTACAGTATGCTGAATGAATGCACCCTTCTGATGTAATAACAAGCCAACACTGGTAGTATTTGCGTTTAGTGAGAGGGTCCTTGTCCTTCACTCTGGATCTGACTTGTCCTTTTAGGGCTACATAGTCTGAAATTTAAAGAGGGGTAATATTTAATGAGCATAGCAATCACAGGCTATTTTTAAAAGAATCCAGTAGCATGCAAAAGTACATAAAATCATTTCAAATATTGACACATGTATGTGCACTTTAAATAAAATATAATCATTTCAGGACTTAATACTACTCAATGGAACTTTAAATAGTTTAAAGATGATAAATATTACCTGGAGAATCATACGATGCTGAGGTCAGATCAATGACATATCCGTCCCTGAACATCGTATACCCCTCAAGCTTGTGGTAATCTCGTAGCGTACTATGAGTGAATTCGTCGTACCCAAGTAGATAGTTGTAGATATCAAATATAGACACACGAGGAATTTTGGAAAGGTCATAAGTGCCTGCTATTAGTTGTGGATTAACTAATGTATTTCCATGCACACATAGTTTGGCATCCAGCACCTCACTTCTGTCCTCCACCAGCCCGTCCGGGTCAACCTCAATGTTCAGCTCTGCTGCATATCTGCACAGGTCGACCAATTCGGCTTTTCTAGTGTTAGCATAAGTAACGCCTCGCTGTCTTAAGTACTTTTGGAGGTCTGTTACGGAGTTTGACTTAAATTTATCCATAGAGCAACAGTTTATTAACACTTGAATTAACCGCGCCGTCAAAAGTTTAGCAATATGGCTGCGGTTTGTTTGTACCGGGTCACGTGATTTGATATTGGGAAAAACCCATAATGACGTAGTTCCGGAGTAACTCTATTGGGCGCTCTTTATGGAATGCATTCAATTTTTTGAGAAAGAGCAATAGCAATTGTTCGACTCTTTTCGTCAGTTTTAGCCAAGGACAATACGATTGATAAAAGGGTAGTGACTGTGTTTATTGATTATTAAAAATGAATCAGTCATTCGTGTCGCGCTATGGTAATAAATAACAAAATAGAGAAATTTGCAGGAAATGAAATGCAAAATAATCAACAATAAGTGCACTCTTTATAAATTTACCTAAAAAATTATTTTTATTATAAACGTATTCCCTTTTTGTACGAATTGATATACATGTATCATAGTATTATCATTTCCGTAGGTTCTTTCTGGTAAATAATAGCTCCTTTCTTTTTTTAGGACTTGATTGCACTTCTGACATTTTTTACCTTAAATATAAATTGACCCTAATTTCCCGAATTTTTGCTGTAAGAAGTTATTTCTTTTTTGTTTCAAGTTTGAGTGGAATTTTGATTTGCCGAATTATGTGACATTTTAACAACAGAACCTTTCGTCTGCAGTTTTCATATGAGGTGTTATGGGTTTATTGATAGGAATGTAAACACACTAGTGTGTCTGAGCAATCCAAAAATAGTAGATTGATATCCCAATAAATCAATTAACAATAGCTCTAATATTTATCACCAATGTCAAGTAGCTTTTATATATTTGACTCGCATCAACATGATGCTCTTGAATTTCTTCAAACCTGTCTAAAATTCAGGTAAGTGTCTTTAATTATATTGATAAATAATGTTTCACCATATCAATATGCCATGCAAATTTATTCATGATTTTTCAATGTACCATTATTTTTGTTAACGCGTTTAACAAAACCAATCCTGAATTTGGTCTTTTTGAAATTCATCCCAATTTTTTCATTCTAGTGTGCGTTCTACTTTCAGTATTTATCTGGTACTTGAAATATAACTACTATATCTAAGTCCCAGGTAATAATAATAACGATTTTTTTTTCATTTGACATATAACAAAAGCATTAATATTACTATATTAGTCCCTTTTTTACTATTTCTACTGTTTGTATATTTGTTAAATTTATAATAACATACTTTGTTCATTTTCACAACTGTTTTTTATGTTCCAAAGAAAATACATTTAATATTCTAATCTCTAGCAAGTCTACCAAAGTTCATGATGAACCATGTCTTTCGTCCGCACATTCATCTATGATATACAATTCTGGTAAAATCCAATTAACCATTGAATTATATAAGAAGATATCTGGTCATCAGATGTCTTTAAGTTCATCGTCACTTACTGCATTTCTTGCTTGGATGCTCTTTGATGCTTTACATCAATGTTTTTCTTGTGCTTAATTGTATCATAGTTTGGAAACTTTACCATTGGAATCGTGTCAGAGTTAAATCGTATACCAATACTTGCATAATGCAAGCATGCTCGTTGATTGGCTATTTTTTCTTTTGACGAAAGGGAAAGAGATAAGAAAAAAACGTCATATTTAAATTTTTGTACATTGGTTACTTTTTTTTGGTATTAGATAGTGCAACCAATATGGAGCGTGTTTTTTGCCTATGCTACAAAAGCGAAAGATCAAAAAACTATACTCGGTGGCTATGCCCTCTCGTACAAATCAGGTAGCCTCGTGTTTCGATGCTCTTGCTATTACTGAATGTATATTGACAACAATGAATAGAAAACTGATCATAAATGAACGAGTATTGATATACCCAAAACTCAAATATTTCAAACCTACAAGTCGTGACTAAAGCGTAAATATAACTTAATATATATATATAACTTGATAATTTAATTGAACGCTTGTCTGTAGAATTTGTGTAATTGAATTACCTTTATTGCTTTGAATTTGGTGCTATTCGTTTTACTTTAGTTTTTTTCCCGTGGTATGTCAATAATATTTAGTCTCTCCCTTATATTTGTATATACAAGCAAACTATATCTATTACATAGTTAAAAGATTCCCCCAAGAAAACAACATCTTTTTAAATGTCGTTGAATCCTTAATCAAAATACCCTTTATCGACTGATAAAGTGCTTTTATAGTGTGTATGTCATAATATTAATTGTATCTACCTCATGTTGTATAACCATGCACCTTGAGAGGAAATGAAGAACTCTGTATGTCTGTCTGTCATTAAGTTCAATATGATACAAAGCTTAAGCTACTATGCAGAATAAAGTCTGGCCAGATTGCACGGATGTCTCTATAATGGTGACATAGATCAGCAGGTAAAAGGTTACTACATGTTCAGTTAGCCATCGCATATGAATAAAGTAATTTGAAACGAAGAAAGTCGAAAACACGAAAGGGCGATTATGAAAACACGAAGGGACGAAGACAAAAACGCGAAAACATGGTTGGACGAAATCTCGACAAATTCAAGTCGATAATTATCACTTATTCGTCATCAACAGTTTGAAAACTCAATACTGTATTTCGTCTCAGAAAGATACAAAGTCACGTACTATAAATAATTCCTTAATAATCAAGCACGTTATCAATTAAAGAAGTTGAGATATTTTAAAAATTGACAACTTATTGTGATTTATATAAACGTTAATTTTAAGATGCTATGCATTTTATTGAAAGTAACAATTACGAAAATTTGCGTTTTTTAAGTAAAGTACGATATATGCACATTATAAGGGCGTTACTGTTAAAGTCATAATATATATGTAATGAAAGATTACAAGAGCATATAATGTTTTTTTTTTTATAGAAATGACGAATTCTTGTAATGTTGTGATTGTTTTGTATTTATCGGAGATACTTTTCTAGGTGTATTCATTTTTTTTAATGAAATGGATCAATCTTGCAGGCACTTTGTGTGCACTTACATACTTAATGAACTAGACCGTCGATTTGATTATGATGAAAGGCTGGGCCTTGTAACATCTTTCGAGTCTACTTCCTTTAACTACCCAGTACTTGTGTCAAATAAAAGAAGAAGAAAAACATTAGCTCTTATTTCTATGGTGTCTGTGTTGGGAACATTTTTACCACAAGGCAACCTTTTCTCCTTGTAATACTGAATTAAATTAATATGAATTTACTTGATTCATAACGAAGATCAATTCCATATATTCATCAAATTCATGGACAGATCATTCAAAAAACGGGGTCTGTGACACACCATTGTACACTTCTAAAGTTTCTGTTATCATGCTATTACATTTTTGTAGATCATGCTCAGTTTCAATTTATTCTATTATACAGTTTTATTCTGCTATTTATCTGCTATATGTATCCGAAACAAACGCTTTGAAATCAAATTTATTTTAATTTTTCTTTTAAATCTTCAACATAAATATTTAAGAGTAAGAGAATGACATTGATTTTTAAACATCAAACACGTTTAATCCCCTAGGTGATTATAGTATATCCCTTGTCAATTTAATGCAAATATTGACTGAAATCGTTGTACCTCTAAATAATTTTAGAACGAACGAACGAAACCGCGAAAACACGAAGAGGCGAAGACGAAAACGCGATAATTATCGACTTGAATTTCTTGGAAGTTTTCGTGTTTTCGTCATCGTGTCTTCGGGTTTTCGTCATCGTCCCTTTGCGTTTTCGACATTTTGCGTTTCAAATTTCTTTTTTCATAGGCGATGGCCCTTACTGAACACTGTTGGACATAGCCCTATAAAAGACAATTTTATTGAACTGTAAGGTATATTTTGTAAATTAAAGAACCTGTTTTGTTATGAAAAGAATCAAATATTACTTTTCACTTTTAACAATAATATTTATGTTCTTCCAGCTCTTTTAATTGGTCCCCTTCATCCAACTTTCTCCTGAAGACTAATTTTTCAAAAGAACTCATTTTACATGTTTCTATATTTATTGCATTTATTTTTTACTTTCAAGGCAATTCGTGACTATTATTATTTTAACGAAAAAAATGTGTGCATTGCCAGATATCGGGTAGAGTTGACTTAAGACTAAAGTTCTTACTGTTCTCCCTATTCAAATATAACAGGGCAAAATATAAGTTGATAAAACCTTGGAATTTTGCCCGAAACCTTTTTATTTACAAATATATTGGGTTATGAAATAGATAAGGTCTTTGCCAATTTACACTCTAATGTTAGCTTTTTGTGGTTACACCGTTTTCGGAAAACGGTCCAAACCGTAAACAGAAGTAAGTTTTATTGAAACGGGGTTGTGTATCGATTAAAAAGAACCAATCAAGAGTTATTTTCCATAGTGAATATGTAAACAGTGAACGTTGTTTTGGAAGAAATGTCTGACACTTTGGTTGTCGCAGCAATTGACTTTGGAACAACTTTTTCAAGTTGGGGATTTTCGTTTAAACACGAGTTTGATCTTGATCCAACAAAGGTCACTGCAAAACAATGGTCTGGATTGGAGTCGACTATATCTTTGAAAGGTAAGTCAATACGCTGTTATGAACAACGGGAATATTCTTTAAATGTTTATGAAAGTATATCAATATAAGTGCGTACTATATATATTGCTTATTGTTGAGTTAGTGTCAGGTAAACATAGCACGTAAAATGATTTTTTATTCTCAAGTGGTATAAAGCAACCGACTTTGGACCGACAATACAACACTCTCAAATCTTGTACGAAAAGACTATTGATTACAATTTGGTTTGAATGATTTAAATGTTCAAAATAACCAATATGTACTTAAAGGTTGGTTTAAACATATTTATTTACGCTCGATTGAGAGACAAAGTCTTGCAGCTTATAATAATCACTTTCGAGTCCGCTTCATGGAACCAACCAGTACTGGTGTCGTATGAAGAAACATAGTCGTGACCTGAGTAGGGCTCAAACTCATGATCTCTGGGTTGAGAGGTAGACACTTTAACCACTAGGCCACTGCTCCCCTTAGCGGCCTTATACGACCTTAAAGGTTAGATCTCTTGATAGAAGTTCAACATCGTTTACGATGCGTATCATGCTTCACTTTCTTTATAACTGCATTTACATAGTCTGAGATAGTGTTTGATGTTTTCTTTTTACGGATAACAATATTAATTACAATGATTTGTAGATAAAGGACGTGTTTTCCCTCTAAACAATGGGTATTTATTCAACTAAGGTGTTTAATGTATTGTATCTAATATAAAAGAAGTGTAATCTGATCTTATTGTTAATGAAAAATGCATTATGCAGAAACTTCGCGTAGGTATGCGAATACTTAAATAATACATAATACATAGTACACGTATTGCTGTTATCATATTTTAATCGTTTTTATAATTAGTCTAATATTAAGCTCGACTTAAAATAATAATATTATTAATAATAATAAAGATGTATTGTAACAGTCATGTCTGTCTGCGTTCCCTTTGCCGTTGCCGTTTGTGTCCTTGATCATAACTTTATAAATTCTTTGTGTAATGCTTTAATATTTGTCCACAACAACTTTTGGGACAAGACCTTAAAGTAGATTAGACTTACATTGACCTTCATTGATAAATGAACTTGACTTCAAGGTCAAATGTCTAAATTTTCCTCCAATTTTGCTATTAGTGAATTAGTGAATCTAAGAGTTTGAATGAGGGTCTTTTACGCGGCCCTGTTTTACTCCAAGATTTGTGTGGTTTACTTATGAGGTTTCGTTTACATACAGTGGCAATGGTCCAAACATTAAAAAAGCGTTTCTTCAGATTGATTACGCGATGTAAGTAAAATGCACACTCTAATGGATTAAAGATACAAACAGACCATCTTTTTTTTAAAAAAAAACATCAAAATCTTTCGTGTCTGAAGGGTATTATTTGGGATAATTTCAAGCCATTTCCTTCTGAATGCAACTACTGAGACTCATTTGAATACATATGGCACAAAAGTTTTAGAACAGCTGAAACGGGACAGTTATTTTGACAATATTCTAACCAGAGCATCCAGTGATGAACAAGCTATAGACATGTATAAAGAAGACGCGTCAAAGAATCTTCGGGAGTGAAGTCCAAGTATTGAAAAAGTAAACAATCATATTCCAGGAGTTGACAGATCCACTGAATCTGAATAAAAGATTTCTGGACATTTATGGGACAATAAATCAGGTTTTCACAAGAGTGTGTGTATTTTGCTCACGTAGCCACTAAAGATAATCAAGATGACGTTGCAACTCTCGGTTAGTCGGTAAGTGATTTAAAGGATAATACTTTTTGGTGGAACGGTCTCACTTGGTGTTGTGAAACTCCATGAAACTGGTATACAAATAATGACAATATTATTAAAATGCACTTTAATTAAAAGAAGGAAATGAAAAAGAACCAAGTGTTTAATTGCAGGTCGAAGACAAGAGCACCGCTTGGCGGAGCATTATATGCCCGAACGTGTTTTTTAGTAAGGATGAAGCATTTGTAAGACATGGGAATTAAATAAAGTATTACCTCCTTCAAAAACAATCATCTTTTATAGCTGAAGGACAGTTACTGTTTCCAAAGCTACACCATCAAGTTGTTATCTCGTAAGTAAAAATGCTACGACGGATGGACGGAAAGACGCCAGGGGTATAACATAATATAAGCAAACGTTTTGGTACATATAATTAATGTACTCAATATAAGTGACCATCCTATGAAGTTTGACAGTTGTAAAACTATTAACAACATAAAGATCATTTGATATTGATGTTTGACCTTGTGACTCTAATATAGATATGGATCTTTTATTCAATATAGGCAATCATTCTATGAAGTTTGAACACTTTAAGCCAAATGGAACTTATGTTATGCTCCTGAAAGCACAATTTTCAGTGTTAAGGTCATTGTGACCCTGACCTTTGACCTTATGACCCTAAAACCAATAGGGGTCATGTATTGGACATGGCTGTTCATCCCATAAAATTTTACAGCTGTAGGTTGATTAATACTAAGTTATTGAGCGGAAACTGTTTTTAGTTTTAAGGTAATAGTGACCTTAACCTTTGACCTTGTGATCCCAAAATCAATAGGTGTCTTTTACCTAAATATGGACAATTATCCTATGAAGTTTGAATATTGTGGGCCAAATGGAACTTAAGTTTTGCTCTGTTAACTGTTTTCAGTTTTAAGGTAATAGTGACCTTGACCTTTGGCCTTGTGAACGGTCTTCTACCCAATATGGACAATCATTCTATGAAGTTTGAATATTGTGGGCTAAATGAAACTTAAGTTATGCTCCTTAAACTGTTTCAGTTTTAAGAATATAGTGACCTTAACCTTTGACCTTGTGACCCCAAAATCAATAGGGGTCTTTTATCTTATATAGACAATTATCTTATGAAGTTTGAATTATGTGGGCCATATAAAACTAAAGTTATGCTCCGGAAACTGTTTTTCAGTTTAAAGGTAAAAGTGAAAGTGACTTTTGACCTCGTGACCTCAAAATCAAAAGGTGTCTTCTATTCAACATGGAAAATCATCCTATAAAATTTGAATATTGTTGGCCAAATGGAACTTAAGTTATGCTCCGGAAACCGAATTTCTAACGGACGGACGCCTTGGGCACAACTTAATATGCCCGGAAGAATTTCGGGCATATAAAAAAGAAAGCAAACAAAACGGGAGAATGTGCCACCTTGTGGAATTGACATTCATATATATTCAACGTTAACAAAATTATGGCATGCTACTGCTCTTGTTTAGAAACTCAAAAATGTGAAAGATGACGCAGAATATCTGGCTGTAGACGACTTACGAGAAGATGAAAATTCGTGGATAGTTTGTGTTCAAAGGAAAATTTATAATAAGGACTATAACAATATTCAAAAGAAAAAGCAGTCCGGACTACAAAGTCAACTCGGACTGGTTATCAACAGCAACTGATTATTGCACTGTACTGGACGTTTAGGCAACTCTTGCCTGTTGGAAGGAGCAAGACTACATATTTTACTACATCACAAAGAAAAGTTTAGTGAAATGGTGATTCAAAGAGGACATAAAGAGTGTATGTACTAAGGAATATCACATACGCTATCCAGAACAAGAGATACTACTTGTCGGATAATCCATGGTCGTTCAGCGGCTAAAACAGTATTATTTAAAAGTATAGAAATTCGATCCGCTAAAGTGAACTTCCTTCTAAGAGTCTAATAGGCAGACCTTCGAACTTACTTTATCTTCTTGAATGTGATAAAAATCTTATTATATAAATGACCAATTTGATAAAAATACTGAGAAATGTGCAAAGAAACTAGATAATATATCAAACAGAAAGTCAGCGAAAAAAAAAAGCAACAACTAATTTTAGTAAACATCATGTAAAGTACAATTATGTAAGTAAAGGTGATACAATCCTAGACATATTTCATACAAAGTTCTATGTATTTTCAGTTTCTCAAACAATAAACAATATATCCTTCCATAAAGGAGGGCATGAAGACAATTTAATACCGGTGCATTCTTTTTCAAACTGATTGGGACAGTGAAACAAAATGTATTGAAACGCTCAGGAAGAGAAGAAGCATTTTATTTTTGCGTATTGCAGTGACTATATATAATTTGTATAATATTTTATTTCATGTATTGCAATTATAAGGCACTTTTGTGTAAATCATTATACATTTTCATTGCGTTTTTCTAATTATATAAATAAGCTTTAGTTAATCAATTCTATATAATGTACAGATACTATTATTATATTAAACAATGATGTAAGCTCAATGTTTTAGCTAACATAGCGATTACTTAATGCATACTCTGTACAATTTAATGCTGTGTCTTTGAATATGCTTCTTCTGACTTAATTGTATTTTAATACTCCGTTTAGCTCCTTTGGTTTGAACGCCAATATCTTATGATATTACTTTAATCCTGATAACTTTCTCGCCATTTAATTCCCGTCACAAATATATTCACGTGCTTTTCATGACACCATGGTTTAAACTGAGACCGCAAAGAAGGTTAGATATGAAAAGGATTTTGCTGTGAAGTGTATAAGAAATATAAGAAAAGTTTTGGATTGTAAAAGTTAAACTAAAAAGTGTTTAAAATTGGATGTTAAATTGGATATTAAAAGTAGAAAGGAGAAAGTGTTCTCTTAATTTCATTGTGTTTACAAGTATCTTCATGTCTATCAAACTTAAATTAACATTGTCTCATGTGTTACCTTGACCTGGAAAGTCAATTTATCTCATTTTCACCGATTATTGCTATAATTGGCTGGTAATTAATCAATGAATTATCTTCATACTTGGACGTAACAGCATTTTGGACAAGACCTTCTTAAAGGTTGAACTGACCCTAATCTTGACCAACAGACATGACAAGCGTTGCCTCCTGCGGCTCTTGTTATATCTAATGTTTGCTATATTCGCCGTTCTAATGAATTGTGATACAGTATTTTGTTTAAGGGCAATGGTTTGTTAGGCTATTATAGACTGTAGATAATTAAACTGTTCTCTTCTTACTTCTATTCATTTGCAGAAATAAAACATTTTAACAGTCAATTGTCTTGATACAAGTTACTGTAGTTTGTAGGTGTGTCTTCAAGTAACATAAACAGGGTTTGTATAAAACTTAAAGAAAGTAGATAATCTTGTTCATGAATTTATTGGTTTTTTGTGTATATTAAATGAGATCATACGAGAGTGGGTCAATATGTAATGCAATATCAATTATATTTTCTAATCTAGCTCGTGATTCTTGTGTTTGTGTAAACTATGATATGCTTCAAAGTATCTGCTTTTAAAATGATACCAAAATCATGTTCGTAGTCAACCGATTATGAATTTATTCACAATTAAAAAATACACCTTACACGAGTAAACGCTCAGTTAAAAGTGATGAAATAAGGGCTTACATAAAAACTCGAGCAAAATTAGGGAACCAGGCTATAAATCTTTATAATGATATTTGCAATCTTTATGACAACAATGAAATTGAACAATGAAACCGTTTCGAGGCGTATGCATATATTCAAAAACGGGTACGAGTCAATTAAAGAGGCCGGTAAGTCTGGTTGTAAACGCTCCATTTCTGTAAGGGGAGATTATTTCGAAGAGTTAAAATAAAAAATTATGAACTGTTTGCTCATTTTTAAAATTCATTGACCATTTTGCATTATATAATGACCCATCCTCGTACATGTGTATTATGAAAATAATTGCATTATTAATTGAGGTAGATAACATATATTACCGTCTGCAATTCAGACGTTAAATTGCCAATCTTAATCTGATTTGAAAGGTTTGTATTTAATTTTCAAAATGGATATCAATATATACATGTAATTTTATTAATAATGTTACGTAATAACACATTAGTTTGCAAAATTACAAATATCCTTTATCAATTATCATTGGTTGTGAACATATCAATGAATGATTTGCAAACATTGTAAGTTGTACACTGTAGATTCAGTAATCATACACATCTATTCAAATATAAGATATTGACATGGTTGTAACAACCTTTATGCCGTTTTAAAACAAACTTTCTAAGTTATTTCGAATTTCAAATAAATGTTCATTGTTCAATTCAAGGACCAACAACAATTTTGATTAATCCTGACGGGAAAACGATTGATAGTTTTGGTTTTGATGCTGAAACGAAGTATGCCGAACTTGCAGAGGAGAATCAGCATCAAAAATGGTACTACTTCAAGAGGTTCAAAATGCAGCTGTTTGACAAAATTGTAAGATTAAAATATTTTCATCAATGTATACTTCTATTCTAAATGATTTAATTATAACAATGTCAATGATACCACAATGAATCTCGGAATAGTTTTCACTTGAATTTAGCGCTTTTCTTTATTCTTCTCGTCGATCAAGAAAACTTTAAAAGATATTAATCAGCTGCACTTACATCTTGATATCTTTAACTGTTCGATGACAAATTTCGTCTTTTTTAGCCTTGAATAAACAATTTAGGTAAAATCTTTATTTTATTTTATTAGGTAAAAACAACAAATATTCCAGTACCTGATAAATAATAACCAGGAACACAATTAATTAAACGAAATAATATCAACATGACCTATCTTCAAATTGCATACATTTTGTTTATTAAGGGACTTCAAAGAGATTTTACAATTGAAGATGCCACTGGTAAATCTCTGACAGCAAGAACAGTGTTTTCCCTATCTATAAAATACTTGAAGGATGATCTTATGGACATGACGAAGAGAAGAGTTCTTGACGAACACTTAAGAGAAGATGATATAAAATGGGTTTTGACAGTGCCAGCCATATGGAATGACGTAGCAAAACAGTTCATGCGAGAAGCTGCAGAAGATGTACAAAATTTTATTTATTTTAAAAAGATATTCTTTGTTTTCTATCCTACTACCTACTTTCTAAAATGAATGCTATTCAAAATAGTCAATTGCCATTCAATGTGTTCATACTTTAAACATAGAAACAGAGCCTTTCAATGAGAATCACTTTTTTATGTTTGACTTTTGTTTTTGAACATTAAATAAACATACAAGCATGTGTTTTGCAGTTAAAACATTGCAGCTATACATTTTGAATAAATTTTATGTTCAATAAAAGTATTTTACCTAACTATCATAACAAACGTTGCATGAATCATGTGAAGGGAGCAAAAATAATTTAAGGCAAACCTTATCAATAATTATGTTAATATCATATTGTCTAAGAAAACAATGTATTTTACAAAAGACTGAAAGATTTCAGCACATTTTGACAAACAGCTTGTTTATAAAGTGTATAATTATTATAATTTTGAACACTAGTGATCTGAAACTCCTTTCAATTTTAATTTAAATAATGAAAATTGTCTGTCTGTCTGTTTGTTTGTAAAAATGCTATTACATAATTACATTTTATTGGTCAGGCAGGCATAAAGGCTGAGAACTTGGTAATTGCACTTGAACCAGAGGCTGCATCATTATATTGCCGACACATTCCCACAACAATAAGTGACAACTCTCTGTCTAAACTAAAACCGGGGAATAAATACCTAATTCTGGATGCAGGAGGTAACTTAATTTTAACTTTACCTGAACGTTTCTTTTCTTTTTTTGACCTGGCGATTTCTCTAAACTGGAGCTCATTCGTGTCAGCATTTTCATTTGCAAATTGTTTCCACATGCCTACTTTTTTATGAACAAAATATAACATAAAATACTCTTAAAAATATTACACATCGACTTTGGCCGCTTTGCTACTTTGGAGTTTGTTTTATCTAGTGGACATTTAATTTGCTGGCTATGGCAGTGTATTTATATTGAAGTGGCAATATTTCTAACAATCAAGACCTGCACTTTCCCTGCAAGGAATTTACACAATTCGTATGCAAACAGTAAAATCATCAGAAATGTTTTAAACTATATATAATGGACAAATACATTTTAAAAGTATTGGTATTTTCTTTAACTTAAGGTGGAACAGTGGACATTACGGTACACGAAATCACTAAAAATGGAAATCTTAAAGAAATCTATAAAGCAAATGGTGGTGACTGGGGTGGAACAAAAGTTGATCAAGCATTCGAAGATTTGATTTCTGAAATCGCAGGTACAATGTATATATAATTGACTGTACTTTCATTTTTGGTTGTTATTCAAACTATGATATTCCATAACGAGTCTGCTGTATTTAACTTTTAAGTCACACAGATTGCACAGTGTGACCATTTGGTCAAATAATGAAAATATTTGAAATGATAATACTTTATTACAAAACAATTGTTTGAGTTAATATGAATACGTAATGTCCTTGTGAACATTAAGAATATCTATAGTGACAATATTTAAGAAAATCTTTTAATTATAAGTATACGTAGTAGGTCACTTGCGGATAAATTGACTGATCAGTTTTCCAGGAAATCGACCGCCGAGGAATAACCAAAATGGTGCTAAAATCGAAGTAAAAACAAACAAATAAACAATCAATCAATCAATCAATCAATCAATCAAACAAACAAGAAAATATACATGTTTAACTCAGTTTCTACTTTTTCTTTTTTCAAAACTATCTTTTTTTAAACTTTTCGTGTTTATGTAACATATATGACCTCGTCATTCATCATATTTTCATATATATAATCAGGCCCAGGTGTAATGGAAAAATTCAAAGAGGATTATATGGATGCGTACCTTGATCTGATGAAAGCTTTTGAAGTGAAGAAAAGGGAGACTAAGAAAGGAAAACCTGTAGCTTTCAAAATACCCGTTGCACTAATGGATTTGGCTGAAGACATGACTGGGGAAAAGATTCGAAACACTATATCAAAATCTAAACACCAGGAATGCATTCGACTTACCGGTGATAAATTGAGGCTTGATTGTGACATTATATATGGAGTATTTGAAAAATCTATTAAAAGCATAAATGATCACCTACATAAACTTTTTGAAAATCCTGAAGTGGCTATCTGCGATGCCATACTAATGGTTGGCGGTTATTCCGAGTCCCCTTTGTTACAAGAAAGTATCAAAGAAAACTTTTCAAGCAAGAAAATTATTGTTCCTACAGATGCAGGTTTAGCTGTTCTGAAAGGTGCTGTTATATATGGTCATAATCCAACTTTGATAGCACAAAGAGTTTGTAAGTATACGTATGGGATCGAGACAACACACACACAAAACTCTGCATGCAACCACCCTCCAACAAAAGTAATTAACATGAACGGAAAGCCCAAATGTGATGGGATATTCAGTTCACATATCCGAGCGGGAGATATAGTTAACCTCGGCGAAGAGATAAGAGAACAAATTTACCATCCACCAGAACCTAATGCTACAGCAATAAGCATCACAATATACTGTACATCGAAACGTTATCCGGACCTTGTGACAGAGGCAGGATGCTATAAACTTGGCAATGTTGATATTCCAATGCCAGATACAACAGGCGGTTGTGATCGACAAATAGGTGTATCTTTTCTATTTGGTGGTACAGAAATAGAAGTCAAGGTCAGGGATATTACGACCGGAACACAGAAACGGATATCAGTAACCTTTTGGGGATAAATATCGATATGCAAATAAATGCAACAGTCTAGCCAGGATAAAAAAAGTATATTCTCATAGCCTCAAACTTCAATGGTTAAGATTTTGGAGAACTAAGAAATTGAAAATTATTATAACAAAGTTGTTAATTTTAGAGGCTAAATATTTTAAATGGTTTACTCATTTCAATCTAGATGCTTCTTTGAATCATTTGTTTTAAAACATTCTTTTTTCATCAAGGTATCAGTTGAAAATATGTATTAAAATTGTATTTGTCATTTAGATGTTTATATAAGATAATGGTGTTTTAAATGCACTTTGTTGAATTTTTGACTTTTAAAACCTCCTTTTATTATATGTCGGGTTAAGATCATCCACAACAATTTTATCTTGGTATCTAAAAATGCCTAAAAATAAGTTGACTCTGTGTTATCTCTTTTATTTCAAGTGTTTTTGAGTTTTTTTTCGGCTTGTTGTTATTAGACTTACAATGAGTTTATTGGGTTTTGCGAGAAATTTTCGCAGATGAAAAGATGATATATTGGTGTTTTGTGTATTATTTTTTTCACGTAGCATAAAAACGTTTTTCAATCAATTAATGTTGTCACATAGTTGCCAAAATACAAGATTTACACAAGTTATTATTTGTTATATTCAAGGAGGTCTACAAGTATAATTAAATGTTTGGACTTATTTTAAAGTGAAATTATGCTAATGTTTTCAATAATATATTTCAAAAGATTGACTATTACACTCTATAATGGTGATGGACTAATAACTGATAATAAAATATAGGGCCTACAAACAACCTGATATATAAAACGACTACCCTTTTCTTAAAGAGTATAAGGTTGCTGCTGCAAATCAAGGTTTGGTGCGTTTATTATAGTGGCAAATTGTTAATGGCATATATTTGTTTTCCATTTTACCTCATTAAGTCATTTTGTAATTTTCTTTGTTTTTTAGGTTAAGCGATTCTTTTCTACCAGTTAAAATACATGAAATTAACATCGCTTATCATATAAATAAATATCTCAGAATTTCTAAAAACCACATTTACTTACTATGGTACCATTAAGCCAACAAGATAGACCTTCAGGGGAGGACCCTAGATAATGTTGGTATAACTTTTGGTCCAACCCTTTTGTATGTACATTATATTCATGCTTAAGATATTGATGTTAGATTGTGTATTAAATTAATCATGTACAAAATATGCAATAAAATATTATTAAACTAAAGTGTATAACGTACGTGGTTATGCGGATTTTGTTTTCATAGTATATAAATTGAAAACAAATGCACAATGTATATGGCAAAATGTCAAGCTATTCCGATTTTACCTGTTCACCGACTATTTACACTTGGATGTGCATTTAAACTTTAACTATCATAAATCAAATAGATTATCTGCCCTGCAGATCTCGTTCACCTTTGTATAAGCGGGTGCTGGTGTACATTAACATTTGATAAGTTATATGAATCTGTATATCTTATAATATTTATCGGATACGCATTTATATTGTTTTACGTGTATGTATTAAGTTCTTCTACAAAATTGCATTGACAGATATTATTCAATAGGAAAAATAAGAGTTTATCAAAGCATCCTCAAGGTTGATCACGGTATCCGTAACGGGCCGTTGGAACAGTTTAATTTCACCTTAAAAAGTATTTTCACTTTGTTGTTTTTTCATTGCAGGTGACAATGACGATAACCATAATTTGTAGATAAAGGATAAGTGTACCTTCTGATCAAGGGGTAGATATTAAGCTTAGATGTTATTGTATTTATTCCATATGATAAAAATATACAGTAATTAGATATATTTCTAATTGAAAAAAATGTAGTATCCACGAGTTTTGCAAGGGTGTGTAAATTTTAACATAACATTCAGTGTGCTGTTACAATATATTATCTTTAATGTTATCATCATTTGTATTTTAAATATTAGTATTTTATAGTTATTCTTAAAATAATTATGATTATCATTCTTATTATAAGTAATGATTGATATGCTGTATTCGGCGTTCTATTGAACTGTGAAATAATACTTTCTTAGGCAGATTGTTGGGATTTTCTAGACTGTAGTGATTTTTTATTTGGTTTGGAAATAAAAGTTTTTCTTATTCTTCTTTTTCGTCTTATTCATAAACAATTAAACAGTATTTTGACCTTGTACAATATAATATAGTTAATAGGCGTATCTTCATTAAATAAAGTAATAACATGATTAGGGTTTGTATTTAATAAAAGTAGTCAATATTGTTGCAATGGCATTTGTCATGACAATAACAAATATCGTTTAAGCCAATTTCTAATTTTAATTTATAACTTTTACACATAGACACTAGAAACGCAGACATTAAAGTTTATTTAAAGTTCACCAACTTCTAAAGAAAATCTGAAATATCAAGTAAATTTACTTAAACTTTGGGAAGGACAATGTGATTCATTTTAAGACCGCATAATAACCTGTGACGATAGCTGGATTCAAATCTTTGATCCAGTAACACATTAAAGTTTATTTAAAGTTCACCAACTTCTAAAGAAAATCTGAAATATCAAGTAAATTTACTTAAACTTTGGGAAGGACAATGTGATTCATTTTAAGACCGCATAATAACCTGTGACGATAGCTGGATTCAAATCTTTGATCCAGTAACACATTAAAGTTTATTTAAAGTTCACCAACTTCTAAAGAAAATCTGAAAAATCAAGTATTTTTCTTAAACTTTGGGAAGGACAATGTGATTCATTTTAAGACCGCATAATAACTTGTGACGATAGCTGGATTCAAATCTTTGATCCAGTAACTAAGGAGTAATCAATTATTTGGAAAACCCCTGTAACACCACCACGGAAAAAACGAGTGTCAGTAATCTTTAAATAAGAAATTGTTCACCTTCTTCATGGATAGATGAAGATTTTTTCTGTCTAATGTCGTACCGCACGATGTGACCGCCAACTCATCTTGTTATCAAAAAATAAAATGCGCATTATTTTTAATTATTTCATAACTACATTATTAATATTAATTTCCTTTATCTTATTAAAAATCAAATAGCTTTTTCATATTGAATAGCTTTGCGGAAAATGGTTCTTTATTGACTTTCCTGGTAACAGTGCCATTAAATTTTTAGGTTCTTCCCTTTCGTGTGAAGTCCTTTCGGAAGAAGGACCGAATATGGAAATAAAAAATACAAATGTTTATGTCTTTTCATCAAGATAATGCGCATGCTCATAGGGTAAGTGATACGAATATACGAGGGTTGTCCAAAAAATTTGTGCACTACAGTTATTGTCTTGGGAGTTATTGATGAAAAGGCATAAATTATATATCACTCGAAGGGGAAATCTGTCGCAAATAAGAAAAAAAAAGGAAAAGCCGTGTTACCGGTGTGTCGTAAAAAAGAATCGTCATACAGCTACCTTAGTAACGTAATACCGGCGCACGACAAAAATTTGGGTTAGTTCATTAATTTGATGCATCACATAATCCTTTAAACACTACATATAAACGTCAAAATTCAGGGAAAAGTGTGTGTATGTATTCCGGACTTCTCTAGAAAATATGATGTCATTTGCCCTATTGTAACGGTCGTAAACAAATATTTCCGTGTGGTTGTCAATACTGTCATTACATGAAAATGTCAATTTCTAAACGTCTGGAAATACAAACGATCATTTAATTTTGCGCAAGTATTGGAAAAAACACCAACAGATACCTACAAAGAACTTAAAACGGCAAGTGGGACCAGTTCATTGTCACGAAGGCTGGTTTATAAATGGCAAAAACGCTTTGTAGAGAGGTGATAGTCGGTAGACGATGACAACCGATCAGGCAGACGTCCGTCCGTAATGCCGGCGTATGTGACAAGGGTTGTCCAATATATTTGTGCACTGGTGTAATATGTTACATGTAGGTTGCATAAGAATAATAAAAACTGCAAAATACTTTGCATCAATCATTCCTCTAATTGCAGTAATACAAGTTATGACATAAAAAGCAAATGCCAGTTTACAAGCAACAAAAATTAATACAATCAAAGTAATGAACTAACCCAATTTTCTGTCGTGCGCCGGTACTACGTTACTAAGGTAATTGTATGATGATTCTTTTTCTTATTTAAGACAGATTTCCCCTTCCAGTGATATAAAATTCATAATTTTTTATCAAAAACTCTTTCGATAATTACTGCAGTGCACGAATTTTTTGGACAACCCTCGTATAAATTACAATACGTTATATATTTTAATGTCGACTATGAGAAGTTTGAACACAGTCCCTTAAGTCCGGGTTTAGCAACATTGTTTTTTGCAATCTGCCCAAAATTGAAGGAAAACGATTAAACGGAATTGAGGAAATGAGAATGACGATGCTCAGACTTCAAAGAACATATGACGATAGTTGGTATAATGATATATCAAAATCGATAGACAGACACAGAAAGTGCATCACGTCTGTTGCGATTACTTTCTAGAAGATGTGACTTTATGTGAGTAATACGTCGTGGCGTCGATATTTTTTAGGTTGAAGTGCTCGGTAGTTCTATATGGGTCCTGATCTATAAAACGTGTGCTTTTATTTGTCGCTAATGATATTTGGCATATACTTTGCCAATATGTCATATTAAATGAACATAATGTATTTGTTTAAAACACTAAAATTTGAAAAGGTGTGATCCCTCGAAGGCATTAATTACAACAAAATAACGTGAACATTTCAGATTCGGTTTGATTGAGTCTGTACATGATGGATAATAAAAATAAAAGAGATACAAAAAACAGTGTACAAACAATGAGGTAGTCTTTTAAAATAGTTAACAGGAGTTATTGTCTTAATGCTTTCGAGTGAAAATCTACAAGTCTCCGATATTTTGTATATAGCTACTGGTTGAGAACAAATACGACGTGAGACTATATATGATAACAACTAAAAATCAAGAAACAAAGTGATCCCTCAGAAGCATTAATCACAACAAAATTACAAGAAAATTGCAGATTCGGTTGGATTGAGTCCGTACATGAAGGATAATGAATATGTGCAACATCCCTCACGCCCCCTAGAACCGGCTTGAGCGGTACTCAATTCTCAACACTTTATAGTGCTGGCATAAGCCAATATCTCGCTTTATTTAATAATTTTCCAAATTAAGATATATGTATGTGTTTCGCATGAATTATTTGTAAACATTAAATTTAATACTTATTATTTTTATTCAAGTTCAGTCTTGTTGCTATTGCCATATTAGCACTCTTTATCTATACTTTTTTAAAAGTTACATAGTTTGGAGAATTATCTTTACATTTACTAAATAGGTCATATATAAAAAATAATTGCTGTTTTTGTATAAAAGGGAAATACTAAGTAATATCTCAAAAATAAACAAAATCACTAAAATCGTTCAAAATTTATGCTGTGGAAACCAATTGTCTGTGAATTGACGATCAGACAGACGGACGGAAGTGCTAATGAGGCAATACTTATTTGGCTACTTAGTTTTTCTCTCGTTTGTTCTTTTTACGCACATAAAGGGAAATAACCACATAAAAGTCTACGAAATAAATGCCATCAAAGAGAATGTATATTTACTTATTGTTCCTGTAACCAAAATAAATATTCTAATCCTAGCTTTGACGAACAATGTTTTATGTAAGAGAGATCAAACTTGATATCAATAAAATAATACTGCTCATAAATTGTTTTTAGCTTACAGAACTGCTGAACCTTCATCTAAAGCGTCTTCCGCCGTTCACATTAACATCTTTAAGAACGACTTTATAGCTTGTTTTATACCTTCAGTTATCACAGTTTGTAAATATCACTTTTCAAGAAGTAGCACTAAGTTGTCACCTAGAACTGGAACATTAATATTCGGCGAATAGTTCACACAATTATTCAATTTTACATGTTTACTTCATCAAAGGCCGTTTCAAAAAAGTAATTGATTCAAGTCGGCAACATTTTCAATTTGGCACTTTTGAACAGCCAATTTCTTGTTATTCTTATAACACTTCATTTCCCTCGACTCCAACACGATATATGACAATAAAAGACAACTATCCGAAATATATTTTTCGTCAATCAACTTATTCATGATTAAGAGGAATACTTGATTTTACTTTTCAAAAGTTCAGCGTTGACATCTAGTTTCTTTCTAGATGCAACAGTTAAGTTTCTTAACATTTTTTCAGATGAAAACGGAAGGTATCCAATAATTTTATTGCTTTCCAAACATGAATTATATACAATATTTTGAACTTTAAATCTTATTTGCTTTCTCCATGTATTTGCAGTAACAGTGGAATTTTTTCTAAGAGTCGTGTATTTGCCCGAATTTCGTTGAGCGCTCGTTTGCCTTTCGACGAATGTTTGTACATAGTCATTAAATGGTAATCCTGAAAATCTAAACATAGATTGAGCAGTTTCCAATGGTCTTTCAGCCAAATCCTCGTAGAGAATGACTTTAAGTCTGCCTGGAAATTCAGATATTATTTCTTTTGAAATCTTCAGATCTTCATAAACTGTTGTGCAATGACCGACTACTTGAGATTTTATTTTATCCTCTGAAGCCATATGAATTTTGAATCTAGAGTTCATAATACCTCTAGGATCTCTTACTAAATGAACTATTTTCAAATTGGGATATAATAATAACAACATTGCAGCGTCTTTCATCTTTATACGTATAAATTTTATAATCCTCAACGGTGCTTTCTTACACAAACTTGTTGCTTCATCGAAACATCTTCGCAAATTAGGCGTTTGTTTCTTCTTTTCTTCTTTCATGCAATTTGTAAACGCTGCCATGATATTTGTATGCTGTGCATGATGGGGATTTGACAATGTATGTATATTTAAAGCTGTTAGTTTACAATTTAGCCAGCTATTAATTTCGTCAAGTATAAT